GCTTAATGCACTGGGACAACTTCTAGCACCAGTGAAGGGACAACATGAATTTTATGTTTCTGCCATTAAACGCAACATCTCTGATCCAGCCGATAAATCAGGGTCTTATTGCAACTTTCAAGAGCTGTTATCTGCGCAAAACATTTTCCCAACTGGTTAATGATGATGATGATGGCATGAATCAAATTTTTGTGAAAGAATCTTGGAAGAACTTTAACGTCAGAAATGCCATTTTTATTGTTGCTTAGGCATGGCCATATTTACACAGTCCTGTATGAGAGGAATTTGAAAGAAGGTCTGGCCTGAACTTTGTTGTCCCAGTGACTTTGGTCCTGAAAACAAGCTTGTCCTATTCAAGACACGACATGTTGACATGGCAAGATCTGTTGGATTTTAGGATGTAGACCAGGGCAGTGCGGTCACATTGCTCCAGTCCCAATTTATCAGAGCTTACCAATGAATGTCCTCTTAAAACGGAAAATGATAAAGACTGGGAGCTTATTTTTGAACCCATCAGACACCTTTCTACAGCACAACTGACAAATTAGACATATCCTTATGTAACTAATGTTAAAATCATTACAATTCTTTGCCATGATTTCTCCGAATAAATCACTAGCATGTTACAAGGGATACCTTTATAATTATTTTGTCACTCGCTACACAGTGATGATTATTAAAATCATTTTGTGCTCCACATTACACAAATAATGTTATATTATCATTATTCTGTTGTCAGCTTATTACCATTTTTTTAATCCACTACACAGCTGGAAGTAAACATGACTGGTAAAGTGATTGGTGTGTTACAAGAAGGGTTTCAGACATGCACGCAGGAAACACAGGCAGCTGTTAGAGAGTTTCTGGCAACTGTTGGACAAGCTGGTTTTGTTATGAAACATATCTCTATACCTTTACATCTCCATGGTATGTCTGCCACATTCGTGCATATTTTTAAAAAATAGGCACAGACTTCATATTTCTTTACTTAGTTAAAACGGGGAAAGATATCATACATCACATATTTAGTTTGAAATGTGCATCTTCTTCTTCTTAAGCATTCCCAGCCTTTGAGGTTCATTGCTGCAGATATCACCCGCCTCCATTCATCTCTCTTGTTGGCCTACTCTTTCCAGTTGGTGACACCAAGTGTTTGCAGGTCTGTCTGGACATTATCTCTCTATCATCTTCTTGGTTGCCTCGTGGTCTACACCAATCAGCTCCCTTGTGTATACAGTTTTTATTTCTCTGTCATCTGACATTCTCTCAATATGCCCCAGCCATTTCAGTCTATTAGCTCTCAAGATGCCAGCTATCAGTGGTGATTTAAACCGATTATGAATTTTGTTGTTGCTTCTCACTCTCCATTCCCCGCTGTTTTCATCTTTGATGGGTCCAAAGATTCGTTGTAAGACTATGTTTTTGAAAAACCTGTAATAAGGCTTCAATTCTTTTAGTTGTGCTCAAAGTTTCAGAGCTTTAAAATGTGCATGGTGTATATATTTCTTGAGGTATAGTTATACAGAAGAATCCTTAGAATTCCTTGGACAGCCAGAAAGAGCAGACTGGATGTTTTTAAAGAGACAAAGGCTCAGTGAAAACTTATCAGAAAGATACAGTCATCATGTCTTTTGGGTAATGTTATGAGAAAAAGAAAACTCTTAACACATTGTGACCACTGAAAAGATCAGTGGAATAAGAGACTGAGGAAGATAAGGTGAGACCATTATTGACAGTTTTTTTGTCATCGTGGGGAGTAGTATCAACACACAAACTGATACATTGAAGATCACAGATTGTGGAAAGGCATGATTGCCCATGCCACTCATTCTAGCACTTGATGATGATATATTTCTCATGTTTGATTAAAATAATTGGTTGAGTCAATATGTTTTTACTTGTCTAGACTAAGAGACATTAAATTTAATTTGTATTACATGAATACATTAAAACAGTATAGACAATATTTATACATCAAAGAGTCAGATATTGTAGTCTGTCATTCTTCTACTTTAGCATTCCCAGCCCCTGAGGTGCGTTTCTTCATGTATCACACATCTCCATTCATCAGTGGCCTTCTCTTTCCATTTGCTGAATCCAAGTGTTTGTCTGCCTGTTTATTTTCTCTCCACAATCTTCTTGTTCTGCCTCATGGTTTTCTTCAATTAAACGTTTTTGTATGTAAAAATGTCTGTCTCTCTGTTATGTTTTTTTTTGCTTTATATACCTCAACCACTGCAAAGCTGAAATGCTTTAGACAGATTCTCAGAACACCATGGACAAGGAAGAGAAGAAATGCTGACATTTAATGAGATCCAAACATCAAGGAAGATTGGCTAATAAACAGCATCTAGTCTCGGAAGCTGAAATGTTTTGGTCATATCAAGCGCCAGGACAGATTGGAAAAGTTAATAGCAGAAGGCATGGTACCAGGAAGGAGGGGCAGGGGCAGACCACCATGAAGATACGCATAAGATATAAGTGACTCATTGAATATGAAAGTACACGAGGTGGGGGAGCTGGTGAGAGACCAAGTTTCTTTTAGGCAGACCATGAGGAGAGCGACATTCTGCAAAAGACCTGCTACATGATATATGATACTGCAGTCTATTAGCCCCCATAATGCCATTAAATAGTTGCAAATAAAACAGATTTAAAATTTCATTACTGCTTCTCAGTGTCCATTCTCAGCTGTTTGCAACTTTTATGAGGCAGAAGATTCATCATAAGACTGTTCTCTTACTTACTAACTTAGTCGCTCCTCTTCTACCTTGGGGTGTAGAGGTTTGCCAGAGAGATCGCCAGACGTCTCTATAAGCAGTTTTCTTTCTGGCTTTGTTCCATTCCAGTCCTCTGTCAGTGAGTTCTCACCAGTGTATAATAAGATACTGTCTCTTAGTTGTACTCCGGGATTCAGTTTCATGTAGAACACTTTGTGTTTTGCTTTGTGATCATCATGTTATGAGACAGAGCATTTGATTTTAGCAAATTTTTTGGGACATAGAATCATTTTGTTTCCAGAACTTGTCACTGGATTTTAGAAAACGAATTTTTTCTTGATTTATAAATCTAAGTTTGACACATATAGTAAATAAGCTAATAACGTTCTATGAGGCCTCAGAAAAAATGGTTCTTCAGAAAAATGCAGAACTTCAGTGGACAGCCCAGTAAGTTTTCTGAAAGTTTTTAAAGAGGCTTCGACTCATGGCAACTTCTTCTTAACTGTAAACTCTAGCGGAAAGTTCTGGTTGGTCGTCCACTTCAGGGCTTTTGTCTAGGACCAGACCTTGAGTTTTGCAAGCACATCCGTTTTAAGATCTGGCTTATTTGTTCTGACCATAAATGTCTATGAGAAGAGAAATACATTTGTGATAGCTGGAAAAATTGTTTATGTGTAATGTCCTTTATTGAGGCACTGAATCATTTTGTTCTCTTTCAGCGCTGACTTTACTTACAGTTATATCCGTTCAAGGAAGTCAAACTATGTTTCAGATGGGATGTAAGTTGCACAGCTAACTGATGATAAATGACTTTTATGTCTTTCTTATTATATGTTGTGACAGTTTAAATGATATAGTTTCTTACCCCTGTGACGTTTCTATCCTGATCTTAGATAATATAGGCATTTTTGTATGATCTGTATGTCCGCCTCATCACTCTTCATCAGTAAGGTATACATCTTTGTCAGGTCTGTTGGCAAATAACCATAAATTTATATGGTGTTTACTTAAAAATAGTGAGCTAGCAGCCATTTTTTATATGTTAATTAGGCCCATGCTGCAACATACATATTTAAGAAATGCATATACAGTCAGGCCTTACTGCCTTGATTGCAATGATATGTAGTTGCTAATAAATTCATTAAAAAACAAAATAGTTATTGCCATAAAATGCAATCATTTAGTCATTTTCACCTTGCATTTTACTTGGACGCAGCCCGGAATCAGTCTTTTATCAGAATACACTATAATTTGTCTATGATGGTTTCCGCCACTAAAATGTTACCGTCTTTGCTTAGAATTGACATACAGGCTTCACCGAGATATCGTTAGATTGGATATTTTAATCTTTATGTAACCCAATATATAAAACTTCACTAGAATCCCTAATTGATATATATGTTCTCCTTCTTCACTTCCCTTTTACTGCTTCAAGTATCGAGGAAAATGTGAGGTTCTGCTTCTTGTTCCTTTGCCCGCCTCGACCAGACTCCTCAGGCTGTTTTAAAAAAAAATTTTAATGTTATTTTTCCATCTTGTTTTTGTTCTACTTTGTGTCCTCAACTTTTAGGGCATGCCTTGTATGATATGGCATCACAGGGCATTCTTTCTAACTGGGCAAACCATTTGATTTGCTGTCCTAACATTTATATAATATGGCATTTATATAATTGCTATATTTGGGGTGGGAGCTGCCGTTGTCTAGTGGCTAGACCCTTGCCTGCAGATGGAAGGTCGTGGGTTCGGGTCTTAACTTTTTTCCAAAATTGACCTTGGCTCCCAGGTTGACCCAGCCTTGAGTGGGTACCGGCGTGATGCTGACCACATCAGCCACCAAGTGGCGTTTGGTCTATAAAATATAGATTTGAAGGCATGGAAAAAGGGCCTTTACTCTTTACACTTTATGTTTGGTGTCTCCTTGGTGAATTGGTTAAGCCATTTGCCCTGCCCTCTGAAAATCATAGTTTCATTTCAAGGACGTGTCATTCAGTTTACGAGTGCAGTCTTTTATGAAGATTCTAGAAATCATTGCTAGAGCTGCAGAGTTTGTGCTTTATGTGATGCTTTGGCAGGTGGCTAACCCTTCTGCGAAGAAAAGCCAAGCTCTAGGGGGTAACGTGGTACAGTGAAGTCGATGACCTCAACTATAACTTCAGTTTTTCACATGGTAATCATATCTTATGCAATATTTGCATTGCAGCAAGCGGACAGTTCTTACAGGGGTTTTACCCCACGACCCTTGAAAAAGCCGTCAGACAAGGTTTACAGACTTCTGCAGAAATGTCAGCTCCAGGTATCAAATTTAACTCCATGGCTGGAGAGTTTGTTACTCGTCGTTATGGCAACCACTACTACTGTAAAGCAAGAAACATCACTCTGGAGCTGACTTACCAGTACGAAGAAGTCCTCAGACACTGTGATGTAGTTGTCATGCCAACTCTGCCACACACTGCTACAGACTTTCCACAGACCAGAGACTCGGAAGCAGACTCCCTTAAAGGTAGGATATATTTTTTTGAAGAAGCTGATAAAAGAATAATACTTTAACGGGTGTTATCTGAATTTGAATATCTCCTCTGATTGACTAAAGATACACCAGTAATATTTATGCGATAAACAATTCTGCTGTCGACTATTGCAGATGGCTAAACGTGCTGTAAGTGACGGCCTACCGCAGAGTAGCTGCAGACATGAAACATCTCTTGCACAAAGCTCTAGATCAAGGCTATTTAACTGGTGGCATGCTGGCCGGATCTGGCCCACAGATGCCTTGCAAGGGCCTGCAGAGTCACTGCCAATTGTATTGTTTTAATGGTCTTTCTTTGCTATTTTTGTCCTCCAGTCTGTGACGATTCTCCCCTTTATGAAATTTTGGCCTCTGGGTAAACTTTGTTGAATAACCCTGCTCTAGAGCTACAAACACAGACTAAAATTATATGATATCACATTTAGTTTAAGAATGGAGGTGGAGGCAGTCACTGGGGCATTTTGTTGGTTTGAGAATCTCTTGGACACACGTGATTGCAACTTACTCTCAAAGCTTACTGAAAAAGGTAGAGGCACTATGTTCCATACAGATTGACATGCATCACTTCATAGGTCCTTGGTAGTTAGCATCCTTTGGATATTTTCTCAAGTAAAAGGATCCTTTTACTTGCCATTAGGCGTCTTAGGCATATAGGGCTAGACCTGTATTTTTATAGACAATCCGCACTCGGTGGGTGATGAGGTCAGCATCATACCTGCCGCCTTTACTTCCCAGGACTGCACCTGGTACACACTTAACACTGGGTCAGCCTGGGAGTTAAGGCCATTTTTGAAAAAAAAAGTCAAGCTCCGCTAGGGCCTGAACCCATGACTTTCCGATCCGCAGGTGGGCATCCAGCTGCCATCGCCACGGCGACATCCATTTTTTTCTCCAGTGCTTGCAGTTTCTCATGCTTCTCCAGGTCTTAGCCAGTGGTATTCTGGATTAAATCTGTCAACCAAATTCCTCCATGCTGTTATCTTAGAAGATATAGCCTAATTCTGGATGTCTGCCTCTTCTACAGCTAATCTTCTGTCACATTGTTTTCAGTTACCTCTCTTCTCATTGCACGGCTAACACAGTTTGTTCCGTTCTTTTCATTACATGTTTTACATTCCTTGTTTGGAGACTTCGTAAAGCTGGGGTGCTGGGTTCAATCCTAGCCACGGGCTTTGTGCTGCCTTGTATTGGTTTTGACAGTGGTATCGAGAAGCCGACCTTCTAGAAAGCAATGGCAAGCTAGTGGACGTAAATTTGCCTAGAAAAACCACAACAGTAAAAAAAAAATGCTTGGGTTGGTTCTGCAACGTCCTGTAAAGGATACGCAACTAACTTTGTTGAGGGAAAGGGGGTGGGGATGTCTCCGCGGCGAAGTGGTCAAGCAGTTAGCCTCACACTGTAAGGGTCATGAGTTCATTTCCAGGATATATGTCATTCAGTTCACAAGTGCAGTTTTAATGGAAATCCCTGGGGATTGTCGCTTAAGCTGTTAAGTTTGTTCTTTGAACTTTTCCATTTTGTTGAGAGAAAAAAAAAGCCATGTTGAAAAAAACCCACTGTGGTGAAGTTAATCCTCTTAACTTAAAGTTGAGAGATAATTGATTTTCCTTACCTGCTTCCAGTCAGCTGTTATTACTTACTGTAGCAGTCTAACATAAGTACACCATTCATCTCAGAAATCACATTTCTGGAAATTACACGGAATGAGCTACATGCTGTAGTCACGGAATGAGCTGCATGCTGTAGTCACGGAATGAGCTGCATGCTGTAGTCACGGAATGAGCTGCATGCTGTAGTCACGGAATGAGCGACATGCTGTAGTCACAGAATGAGCTACATGCTGTAGTCACGGAATGAGCTGCATGCTGTAGTCACGGAATGAGCTGCATGCTGTAGTCACGGAATGAGCTACATGCTGTAGTCACGGAATGAGCTGCATGCTGTAGTTCGGAATGATCTACATGCTGTAGTCACGGAATGAGCTACATGATGTAGTCACGGAATGAGCTACATGCTGTAGTCACGGAATGAGCTGCATGCTGTAGTCACGGAATGAGCGACATGCTGTAGTCACAGAATGAGCTGCATGCTGTAGTCACGGAATGAGCGACATGCTGTAGTCACGGAATGAGCTACATGCTGTAGTCACGGAATGAGCTGCATGCTGTAGTCACGGAATGAGCTACATGCTGTAGTCACAGAATGAGCTGCATGCTGTAGTCACGGAATGAGCGACATGCTGTAGTCACGGAATGAGCTACATGCTGTAGTCACGGAATGAGCTACATGCTGTAGTCACGGAATGAGCTGCATGCTGTAGTCACGGAATGAGCTACATGCTGTAGTCACGGAATGAGCTGCATGCTGTAGGCACGGAATGAGCGCCATGCTGTAGTCACGGAATGAGCTACATGCTGTAGTCACGGAATGAGCTACATGCTGTAGTCACGGAATGAGCTACATGCTGTAGTCACGGAATGAGCTACATGCTGTAGTCACGGAATGAGCTACATGCTGTAGTCACGGAATGAGCTACATGCTGTAGTCACGGAATGAGCTACATGCTGTAGTCACAGAATGAGCTGCATGCTGTAGTCACGGAATGAGCGACATGCTGTAGTCACGGAATGAGCTACATGCTGTAGTCACGGAATGAGCTGCATGCTGTAGTCACGGAATGAGCTACATGCTGTAGTCACAGAATGAGCTGCATGCTGTAGTCACGGAATGAGCGACATGCTGTAGTCACGGAATGAGCTACATGCTGTAGTCACGGAATGAGCTACATGCTGTAGTCACGGAATGAGCTGCATGCTGTAGTCACGGAATGAGCTACATGCTGTAGTCACGGAATGAGCTGCATGCTGTAGGCACGGAATGAGCGCCATGCTGTAGTCACGGAATGAGCTACATGCTGTAGTCACGGAATGAGCTACATGCTGTAGTCACGGAATGAGCTACATGCTGTAGTCACGGAATGAGCTACATGCTGTAGTCACGGAATGAGCTACATGCTGTAGTCACGGAATGAGCTACATGCTGTAGTCACGGAATGAGCTACATGCTGTAGTCACGGAATGAGCGACATGCTGTAGTCACGGAATGAGCGACATGCTGTAGTCACGGAATGAGCGACATGCTGTAGTCACGGAATGAGCTGCATGCTGTAGTCACGGAATGAGCTGCATGCTGTAGTCACGGAATGAGCGACATGCTGTAGTCACGGAATGAGCTGCATGCTGTAGTCACGGAATGAGCTGCATGCTGTAGTCACGGAATGAGCTGCATGCTGTAGTCACGGAATGAGCTCCATGCTGTAGTCACGGAATGAGCTGCATGCTGTAGTCACGGAATGAGCTGCATGCTGTAGTCACGGAATGAGCTACATGCTGTAGTCACGGAATGAGCTGCATGCTGTAGTCACGGAATGAGCGACATGCTGTAGTCACGGAATGAGCGACATGCTGTAGTCACGGAATGAGCTACATGCTGTAGTCACGGAATGAGCTGCATGCTGTAGTCACGGAATGAGCTGCATGCTGTAGTCACGGAATGAGCTACATGCTGTAGCAAAGGACAACTTGGCGGGAGTTGTTTGAGGGCCTATGCTCCATTGAGGGGTAATGACCAGAAGAAGACATTATGGCTAAAGATGCAAAATTGTCCAGTGTGCAAATAAAACAGCCACAGAACTTATAATGAATAAAATGTTTTGTTCCATGTGTATTTCATTTAACCTATAGTTCATTACTGTGGTATTTATGTCCCCACAGAGCATGTTGAGAAAAGTGGAGACAGGCATGCTCCATGCAGAGTGGCAAGCATCACTTCAAAGGTCCTGGGTAGTTAGCATCTTTTGGATATTTTCTCCAAGTTATGCCAGTGTGTTGGGAAATGAGCAGGCAGATAGACTGGCCGGTTCTGCACCGCTTGGTGGTAAACTGATCTATGACAAGCTGGATATTGTGAGGGCACTTTGGGAGCGATCGTAAAGTGAGGAGGCACAATTAGATCATTATGGTCTGAGGAGAATGGTGCTGCAAGGAGCTGCAAGGGGATGTGGCCGACGCTTGACACTCAGGGGAGGGGCGAGACGGATATACAATCAGACAGTTGCTGGTGCCATCGGAATTGGAACTCTTCCCTTGCTGTCAAAGATGGGGAGGGAGCGCTTATGGGGGTGTCCCGAGTGCTGTGATGTCGATTCTTAATTCAAAATTGTTTTGTGTCTCAGCGTACCTGGAGGAAAGCACAGATCTTCTCATTAACACAGCAGCAGCCAGTCTCACTGGACATCCAGCCTTGACGCTACCCCTTGGCCAGCACAGAGATGGAAGTGCAGACAGCCTCATGATTGTGGGCCGCAAATATGAGGAGCTGACAGTACTGCAGGTTGCCAGGGCTTTGGAGAAAATTATTCAAGCCAGAAATTGAAATGCTGTTGTGTGTGGAAGAGAGAGAAAAAACTGATTCATCTGTTTATATGCAAAGTGCCCGTGTGCGTTCTGGGGCATCGCATTATGGATCAAACAAGAACAGACCTGCTGCCTCACCAACAAGCATGCCATAGGAGTAACTAATTGAGGGCTTCTTTTGAAGTCAGAGTGTATCTGCCTGAGAGACAAGAAACCAACAGTCTGCATAAGTAAGCCATACCTTTAAAATGGGTATGCACGCAACACTCAGGTTCTGGATCAAGACTAAAAAAGTCTAGAAGTGAACTAACAGCGAGCACTTTCTCCTGACATTTACAGCTGGTAAACGGGAAAAGATATATACAGTACTCAACTCTTAAGTTCAAGTTGATCCCGCCGAAATAGTTCGAGGAAATTATCAGTGAAGGGGAGGGGCTGGTATGATACACAGCACATCACCCATCCTCTGTGTGTTGGTTCTGGGGCTTCATTTTGGAGGGAATAAGAATAGAACCCATGCCCTAAATCAAGCATGTCTTTAATGTTGTGAATTCCCGGGGGAATCCCAGAGAGTTCCGATGGGGAGGACAAGGTCAGAGGACCAGTGATACAAGAGGAAAATGAGATAAGCGGGTCTCGAGTATCCCGTAGTGAGTGAATAAAGGATACTCGAGACCCGCTTATCCCGAATTCCCAGATTTCCCCGGGAATTCACAACATTACAATGTCCTAAAAGGTGACTAATTATTAATTTTTCCTCCAAAGTCGGAATGCCTCTGCCTTGGAGTTTAGGAACCAACAGACTACATCATACAAATAATAAGCAGATCTGTAAAAATGATGCGCTTGCAGAATTCAAGTTCTGGAACAATATTAAAGTCCAGAAGTGGGAGAACAACAACAACTTTCCGCCAAGAGTTTACAGCCAGGGAAGGAAAACCTCCATTATAACTAACACAATCACAGCCAGAAAGCACAATTAGGAACATGGAAAAGCAAACTGGGACCCTCATCCAAACCAAAATAAAGGTCCCAGATAGACAGCGTAACACACAGCTGTGGAAAATTAGCCACTGATCTTGGTGCATGTACACACACAAACAATTAAAGCCATTAAACTTGGCAGAAATAAATCTCAGCCAATAGACTTGCCATTAGGAAAACATGACCACATTATAACCAAGACTGTTCTAGCCAAGTTGAACATAAAAAAAAAAAAAGTTAAGGTTCCTTTCACGCCTTTAGCCATATAGGGCTAGACCTATATTTTTATAGACCAATCGGGACAAGATGGGTGATGTGGTCAGCATCTCGCCGACCGTCTCTACTTCCCTGGACTGCACCCGGTACCCAGTCAAGGCTGGGTCGACCTGGGAGCCAAGGTCATTTAAAAAAAAGATTGGCTCCGTCAGGGATTGAACCCACGACCTTCCGATCCGCAGTGAGTGTCTAGCAGCTTCGCCACTGCGACTAGGTCGAATATGGTCTACACTTTAGTGTGTGTGTTTAAAAAAATAAACAAGACCATAAACCTCATGTTGTGCAAAGGGGTCTTTTTGTTGACACTTTAGAAACGTTGATAATCAGCTCTTTTGTTAAATTGTAAATTTAGTTATCTGCCGATTCTGTGGAGTTTAAAATTGTAAATATATTAGAAGAATACTCTCAGAAAATAGAATAGATTGGGAAATAGAAACAAGATGCCAGCGAGACATTGAACTTATACACCAACTGACGTTGTTATCAAGACATTCAAACATAAGTGTAACATAACATAACATAACCCTTGGCCATTAGGGTCGTAGAGGTGTATTGAACGAACAAACAAACAAACTTTATTAAAGGGAATTGGGCGCGCAGGCCAGTTTAACATTCTGCCCTTCGAGGTCTTCCTCCATTCTTACATCATTTCATTCATACACCAAGTAATATTACACATCATCAATTGCATTAACATATTCAATACAAGCACTGGAATGTGCACATTTCTAACTACAGTAAACCAAAGTAGTTTCAACATATCTAGGGAAAATGTGCGCTATTTCTAAAATATTTTTTGTTTTGTTTTCTATGGGGGCATGTAATCTGTGCTCAGATAATATTTAAAGTTTCCGATTGTATGTATAGGAACTAGTGGTATTTTGATTTGCTGTGGCAGATAGTTCCATAATTGAGCTGCGGAGTACGCCAAACTTGTTTGGATAGGTCTATCCTAGGTTTAGGGATGTGTAAAATGTTTAGGCGTTTACTATGACTTCCATTATATTTAAACAACGGTCATAAGTAACATGGAGCTTTTTGGGATAATATTTTGTGAATAAATTTCGCCTTACTGAAAAAGTAGACGTTGAGAAGCTGTAGTAGCATAAGACCTTTGTATGTTTCAGAACTCACTGTCCAATGATGTTTACAAATTAAGCGAATGATGCGCTTTTGCAGTGATGTGAGCCGCTTAATAACAGAGCTGGAACAGACATCCCATATTGTAGAGCAATAGTCTGGATGTGAGAAATATAGAATATCTTTTTTGTGTTTTCATCAAAAATTTTTTTTTAATTTTTGCGAGTTGGTAAACCTTTTTAGCTGTTTGCTTCACAAGTGCTTGTACATGTGAGTTGGAGGTTAGATTTGCATCAATGATCAACCTAAGTGCTTTGTGCTCAGTTACACTTTCCACTTGAGCTCCCCCTAATGTAGAGTTGAAACATTCTCTGTGAATTTAAACTGTACAGTTTTTGTCTGGTCGTTATTAGCATAGATTTTGTTTTATTATGTTTTCATTCGGTTTGCACTGCTTCATTTGACTAGATAATTTAATTTTTGTAATGACTACTCCAGTACATTATATGTTTGAGCATTTTCATAGATGACAGAGTCGTCTGCAAATGAATAGCAGGACGACGACAGACATAAAGGAAGATGATTTATTGAATAACAAAGGGCCGAGAATCGAGCCTTGAGGTACCCCAGTATTTAAGGTAGTGGTCCGCGATAGGGTATTATTGTAAGAGGTTATTTGTTTTCTATTTAACAAAAAGGATTTTATTAACTTTAATAGCCTTGGGTTAAATTTAATTGTTTCTAATTTTCTTTTAATAATGTTATAGTTTATCATATCAAAAGCTTTCTTAAAGTCTATAAACACCCCGCCACATATTTTCTCATCGTTAATATTCTGGTGCCAGTTTTCTATCATGTTAAGGCAGTATGGCAAGAACAGTTTGGTCGAAACCGTGATTGGTTTATCCACTATAAGTTTGTTGCGATCTAAGTGCTAAAAAGTTACATTATGAATATGTTTCTCTAGTGGTTTCGATAGTGATGATAACAGGGAGATTGGTCTTTGTTACCTGGAATACTACTGTCTAAGGAACCAGATATTAAAGCAATAAATGTACATAAATTAAACTAAACATAAATGATAGACCTATAGATAATCCACCAAAACAAAGAATTTTTATAGCACAAACAGGAGAAAAAGTTAGCTTAGCGGTACTAAGTAAAGATCAAATTATCAACCTGACGTAGAAAATCTTAGACACTTTAAATAGTACTCCCAAGACTATAATTATATTCAAGCAAATCAAAACATCTGAAAAATCACAGTTAAGTCATTATGTCCCTGTATTAGTCGAAAAATATAAAGACGATAAGAAAATTGTTCTCACACACACACCAAATTCTCTCCTCAAGACTCGATTCATCGCCTCTCTAGAAAGGGGCAAAGTATTATATTCATAACATAAGTTCACACTTTTCGGTGTAGGAGACACAGAGACTTGCCCCTCAGAGTGGCACCCGAAAATGCTGAGCATGTGCTCCAACACTTTCTACTGTATGCTGACAACAGAGACACAATCTGGCCTGTTCCAACCACAATGAAGACAAAACTTTATGGTATACAAGAGGATATGGACTGCACGATAGCTTTCATAAAGGCTACCGGCCTCCTGATATATTTTCTGACAGAAGGATCAAAGAAGAAGAAAGGGATTGACCATACTATCTCAAAGGAAGAAATTAAAACAAATTTCTGCAAGTGTAATTCTTCAAAAAAGAACATCTACACCTTTTTCCCCAGTGCCCTGCCATCTTGTTCTTCATACTGTCTCATTGTGTAGATGAGAACAATGATGTAGATACCGTTCAGGCAATCAGTTATAACCAATGTAATGTAGCCATGAGGGTAACAGTTACAAGAATCACTCAATGAATTCTTTCTCGCCGACAACCAGGCAATCATAGCACCAACCAAAGTACAGATACAAGAATATAGTAAGACTCCACTCAGCATGGGTTAACTATGATATGATGAAGATCAGTGTTGACAAAACAGAAGTGATGACATCCACTAGAAAAGGATGAACTGCCAACATCAAAATTGATAAATATCAGTTAAAGCAAGCAAAGAATTGTACTTATCTGGGGAGCACATTTTTCTTCAAAAAAACAGAATACATTTGAACAAATCCAGCAAAGATGCTATAAAGCCAATCAAGTTATAGGCCAAATTGCACCTATACTGAAATGCAAGCACATGAATATGAACATTAAAACAGCCTTGTACAATACAATTTTCTTACAAACACTGTGCTATCTATGACAAACACAGACACTGTCTTCTGAAGACGAAAGGAAATGGTCACAATAGAAATAAATTGTTTATGTATTATGCTAGGTGTAAAGAAAATATCGACTTATGAACGATAACACCAGGAGGAGAGTCAGCACAGAACCAGTAGTGAACTTTTTATCAGGAAATAGATCAAATGGTTTGGCCATGTAACAAGATTCACAACAAACAGAGCACTACAGAGAACAATGTCAGATAGGTATTGTGGTATATCGGAGACAGTGACAAGTATTATACAGGAAGTGAATAGAAGGGACGTTTTCCTTTTCCTGCCCTGAAGTTGTATCGTAAACACTGTAGTGCATTTCAAAACTCACATCAACAGACTTTAACAAATATCTCTAAAACTCCGGAACGGATCAACACGAATTTGTGCTTGTGGCCTTAGATATTCCATGTCCTTATGATTCTGTAATTTACAACTGCACAGATGCTGCTGTTTTCTTAAAGCGGCAAATTTTCTTCTTCATTTGTGTGACTAAATTTCTGTATCCCTGAAAAATATACAGTAACAGACATAAGTGGAGATTGTTTGTAAATTAGTTCACATATGCAGCGGTGATTATTTTGATAGCCTTGCCCCCACTCAATGAAAAATCCGCAACTTACTGGAGACTTATTGTGGATATGACCAGCTGAGATTGAAATGCCTATAATGCATTCTGATATTTTGAAAAGTTCCCCCTACTCGATTTACCCAAGTTACTTTAAGCCTGCTGCTGTTTGCTTTGCATATGTGTTTGTTGTTCATATAACACAAATAAGGCAAAACAAAAACTAGATGTTTACATTTAAAAAAAAAATACTTACAAGGATATTATTATTAACAGACTGAAAGCCAAATTTCAACAACTTACACCGAACGGTCACTGAGTTGAAGCTTTTTAAACTTCAACAGGTTTTGGGAACAGACTATAAAACTCCCTAGAGTGCAGCACACCACTCCAAGTATGATCTGATAGTGTAGTCTGTCTCCTCCATTATGGACGAACACATTGATGATGAACTGGTAATCAATGAATAACTGTCAACGTCCTGCCAAAATACACTCACAAACTGTCAGAGGGGGAGGAGTGTTGTTTCTGCAGCGAAGCGTTTTCCGCCATTTAGAGGTAGATTAAATTCTCCAGCTTTAGATTTGTATGTTCTTTTGTGTGTCCTTCTATCTCTACTTCTTTCTTTCCTTATTGATACATGTCTATATGTTCATTATATAGGTTTGTCTCGGGAGCTGCCCTAGTGTAGCAACTAGATGCTTGCCTGCAGATCTGACGGTTATGGGTTTAAATCCACATGGTGCCTAATTTTTTTCACACATGACCTTGGCTTTTAGGTCGATCAAGCCATAAACAGGTACAAGGTAAAGTCCTGGGAAGTAAAAGGGCCAGGGTGATGTTGACCACATAACCCAATAAAATCTGATTGGTCTATAAAACTATGTCTAGCCACATAAGCCGATGCTCCAGTGGTGTGTAAAGGGACCGTTACTTTTTTCAGGGTCCCCTTGACCGAGTTCCGTTCAAACTAACAGATTGTAAGTCAAACTTGTCAAAAGTCAAATATATATTTTCAACATTATTGTTTTTCTAAATGCCATGGGTACTTTTTTCTTCCAAATGGATTTTACAAATTGTATATAAAACAGACAAAATAAAACAACAAAGAATTTATGTACATAATTTAAACAATATTATGTACTCCGCTGCATCAGTTCCAAGAGCTGTTTGATCCTACCAGTGTAGTTGAGTTTCTTTATTTACTATTTTGATTGATTTATTTTCCCCTTGTGTGTTCCGGATCCTTACTATAGAGAAAACAAGAATAGACCCACTACCTACCCAACAGCATGCTGTAAAAGTCGACTTATTGGGAGCTTCCTTTGAAGTCAGAGTGCATCTGCCTAAGAGTCAAGAAACCAACAGTCTGTATACAAGTAAGTCGGATCTGTAAATGGATGCACATGTAACACTCATGTTCTGGAGCAGGACTGCAGTCCAGAAGTGGATGAACAATCAGAACTTTCCGCCAGAGTTTACAGCTGGTAAACACAAAGAAAAGATTGATTTATTTTGTTGTTGTTGTAAGTGGGGATGGTCAAATGTTGAGAAGATGTATGCTGCTTCTAGGACCTAAATAGTTCCCCTACTTTTTTGTTTTTGCGAGGTACCTGGAAGCGTAGGTAAATTGGGAAAAAAAATTATTTCAACACTAGGCTGCAAAATCTGCAACTTTCAGCCCCACACACCCTACTTCACTCGAACACTTGCTGGGCTGACAGGCATGCACCAGCAAACTGGAACCATGTTCATCTACACATATGGCTTGATCGACCTGAAAGCCAAGTGCTTAACACTCTTGGCATCCTTAACAGCAATATTGGCAGATCACAAAACAGTGCATGGCTATTGTAATTTTTATTACACTTTCAAGGTTTTCACTTAAAACAACCTTATAATATACAATGTATGAACACATACTTTAAAAAAAAAAATTCTTTATTAAAAGGGGCCATCTCAAAACCCTTATAAAATAATGACATTCTAATGTAGGGCTTGAATAATTTTCTCCAAAGCCCTGGCAACTTGCAGTACTGTCAGCTCCTCATATTTGCGGCCCACAATCATGAGACTATCTACACTTCCATCTCCGAGCTTGCCCAGGGGTAAAGACAAGGCTGGATGTCCAGTCAGGTTGGCTGCTGCCGTGTTCACCAGCAGATGTGTGCTTTCCTCCAGGTATGCTGAGAACAGATTAAATACTTCAATAAGCTTCAAGACAGGGGAAATTCACATTAAACAGTATAGAAGTTCATTATAAAAGCTGTGTGGCTATTTGCCCCAAGAACTCTTTAAAAAAAAAAATGTCATGACCTGGTGAGGATACCTGAAAAGATCACAAAAACTACCCCAAAAGGTCACTAATAAATTCATTAAAAATGTATTTATCAACATTTGATAATTATTTTTCGAAATATATAAAGATGTATGAAAGAAGCAACACTGATACATTCGTTTAAAAATTTATTTATCAACATTTTATAATTATTTTTCTAAATATATAAAGATGTATGAAAGGAGCAATTGATAAACATGAACAATGTGAAGCATTAAACTGAATGCATCTCCTAAGGCCTAAAACGCACATGTATTGTCTCATGGCGTGACATGTACCACTGAGACTTATGGAAAAATCTTCATCTTGGCTTTTAAAACGCTATTTAGCAAAAAGGAAAACCCCTCTAACTGTTAGTTAATGTAGTCATATCCGGAATTGCATTAAGTAAACAGGTCACGAGATGCAAACTGAAAAAGTTACATTTACAGGGAACTGGGACTCAAATGTCAGTTTTTTAAGCTTCTCGAGTGAAACGGTCAAATATACATAGAAAAAATCTAGAATTCCAAGCTTATAGTAAAATGGTCCTGAAATTCCATGCTGTAATTGTGGAAGACTTTTCTTAACGCTGGCAGGTCTTGCTAGTCACACTTGCCATCCCCATGGACTGAGTCCCATGCCTCTTCATAGTGTAATATAACACTATAGTCTGGAATGACAGAAAAGGTGCCAATCAATCATTCTGCTATATCTTCTTCTTCTCTGGTTCACCAGGCTACAACTCCGGTGGAAAGTTCTAGCTCTTTATCCACCTCTGAACTTTAGCCTTGTTCCAAAACCTGAGTGCACATCTCATTTTCATACCTGACATATTTTTTTGTGCAGACCGTTGGTTCCTTGCCTCTCAGGCAGATGCACTCTGACTTCCAAGGTAGCCCCCAATTAGTCGACTCTTACGACATGCCTGAGGTGACGCCACTGGGTCTATTCTTGTTTCTCCCCACAACGGGACCCTGGAACCCACACAGGGAAAATGTATACATATAATCTCGTTAGAGTAACACATTGTCTAATCAGCATTTTTTTTTTTAATGTTACCTTTAAGAGAGTCTGCTTCTGAGTTCCTGGTCTGTGGAAATTTTGTAGCAGGATGTGGTAAAGTCGGCATGACAATGACATCACAATTTCTGAAGACTTCTTCGTACTGAAATGACAGTTCCAGAGTGATGTTTCTTGCTTTGCAGTAGTAGTGGTTGCCATAGCGACGTGTAACAAATTCTCCAGCCATGGAGTAGAATTTGATCCCTGGAGCTAACAACTCTGCAGAAGTCTGTAATCCTTGTCTCACAGCTTTTTCAAGGGTCGTGGGGTAAAACCCCTGTAAGAACTGTCCGCTTGCTGAAATGCACACAATACGTTAAATTCTGTGAAAGTCATATCACATTAATTTGGTCTACACAGCCATCAAGTTACTTTTAAGTAAGGAATTTCTTCTTTGCATTCCCTAGCTACAAACCCTGGCAAAAAGCTCAGATTGTTTGTCCACTTTAGGACTTTGATATTGTTTCAAAACTTGAGTTGCACAGATCTGGCTTACTTGTATGCAGACTGTTGGTTTCTTGCCTCTCAGGCAGAAGCACTCTCACTTCATTTGAAGATTTGTCCATTCTACTGATGCTGATTCGTTTTATTATATGTAACTAGGGCTGAAACATTCGTAATGACAGCACTAGACATGTGGCCCTGAAGCTCCAAATTCAAAAAGACCCCGCCTGCACCGCAAAAAGGGCAGTAATGGCAGTTGTTTTGTTTTTTTCTTTTACTATTGAAACACCAGAGTTAGCTGTGTACCCTTTAAAGGAGTTGCAGAATCAACCCCAGCATTTTTTGTGATTTTACTATGCAGTCAGCTCTCAAAACCAAATCGCTAGCAGCTTGAATCGATCCCGACCTTGGAATTATGAAGTGCATTCATAATGCATATGCTACAGATGCCTAAGTTGAGGTATTAATAGATATTGTAAATCTCTTTATAGGTAATGTAGCAGGGGGTAAGAAGTGAAATTCTTTCAAATGTAAGGACATGTATGAGGGGCGTTCAGAAGGTAATGCACCATATATGGGTGTTTTTTTTTTTTATGGAGCTCATTCGGTAAAGCACGAAATGTGCACACTATAGACATGGATATGACATAGAAACAATGGTTATATCTAATATAATTCTCATCAATTTGTACGGCTTTATGCCAGTGCAAAACACATGCATGTATACCTAGCCTTTATCACATTGTGTGATGACCAGAAGCCATTTTTTCACTGTTTGAATCACTCCGTCATCTCCAAACCGTGTCCCCCAGAGTAAATCTATAAGCGGCCCCAACTGATGAATATCAGAGGGTGTCCTATCAGGACTATCAGGTGGATGGGGTGGGACAATCCAACATAATTTTATGATTGCTTCCCGTGTTCCCAGACTTGTGTGGCAGTGCGCACTGTTGTGAAAGAGAAGGAGTTCTGCTCGATTCTTGTGTGGCAGAACTCTGCAAAAATGCTGAGTTTCTTCAACCTCTTAATTAATTTAAGTGTGTGAAATGATTGTTTCCCCTCTTGGAATAACGAACCCATCTTCCATAAGACAGTAATCAATCTTACAACACAGCTCACCATCTCCTCTAGACCTGGTACATGGAGGGGAGGGAGTGTGTGTCATTCAACCCCACAGTACCGATGCCTTCACTGACTTCGGCGGGGGGGGGGGGGGGGGGGGGGGGGGGGGGGGTGTATGTAGACACTGACCAGGAAGGGAGGGAGAAAGACGCTGAGAGAGCGAGCGAGAGAGAAAGTGAAGCAGAATGGGGGACAAGCAGAAAAAGCGGAGGAAGAAGGGAAAGAGGGATATACAGAAAGGGAAGCAGGAAAAAGATAACAGACAAAGAGATGGAGGGAAGAGAGAGATGTAAGCAGACAGTAACTTAGAAAGGGCAGTATTGAGAGGCAAACAGACAGAGTGAGAGAAGCAAATAGAGGGAGTGAGAGAAGCAGACAGACAGAGGGAGAGAAGCAGACAGACAGAGTGAGAGAAGCAGACAGACGGAGGGAGAGAAGCAGACAGACAGAGGGAGAGAAGCAGACAGACAGGGTGAGAGAAGCAGACAGAGGGAGAGAAGCAGACAGACAGAGGGAGAGAAGCAGACAGAGGGAGAGAAGCAAACAGACAGCCTTAATGTCAGAGCTGCAATTTTCAATTAAAATTCCAGATTCCTTGTCCGCTACGAACCCTGAACACTGTGAGGGCATTTCAATATTTCTGCGATGGTAGCTGTAGCAGGGTATACATAGAGTGGCTGATCAAACAGCTGCAAATCTTCACTTCATGATTCTCTGATTTGGCTGGCTGAGGTGCATGCAACTGGGTACACACAACCAGCACAGGCCATATCTGATGGATGCAAATTTTCGTCCTATCTTAATTATTAACTTAGAAAACAATGTGGTGCATTACTTCCTGGACGACTCTAGTAATTAAAAAAAATTAATGTCATCTCATTTCAGCTAGTTATGCAACTTACAGCCCATCTGAAACATTGTCTGGCTCCCTTGAATGGTTATAGCTGTAAGTAAGTTCAAAGCTAAAACAGAAAGAAAAAAGATCAAATTCTTTAATAAAAATGACTGCAGATAATCTATATTATAAAACTGAAATCTCAGTCTCTGCACATATATTTCTGTGTCACAAGAACTCATCCCAAACAGTGACCAGTAGAGGGGTGAAATCTGCAGATGTCATTCTGTCCACGGTGTTAACTGTGCTATTTGCAACAAAGTCTCTATGTATTTCTAATAATTAATGCCTCAGTGACTAAAAGCTTAAACTACTAGAGTACCAACATTCTATTTTACATTCCTTGAAGAGTTCAAGATGACTTACAATTAATTAGTCCAGCTGTCATAAAATTTATGGTTTTTAACTTTTCTCTTGGATATTTTTGATAAGTTGTCTTCATGTCTTAGCCTTTTTCAACACATTTAGATTACTCACTGTAGCAGCCGAAAGAATATTATATAAGATCTACGACCCATGTAGTTCCTCTGTTGTTATGGCCCTTTGGATGTCATCAATATTGTTTAAAAAAAAAAAGCATCCTTTCAATCAGAACTTTATTTTGGGAATATAAAATAATCACAGAGAGACAAATCTGGGGAATGGGGTGGAAGGCTGAGAACACACACTTGTTTTTTGGGGCAAATATTATTGTTTTGATGTCTTTTGGGTACTCAATCCGCTGATGTTTTTGGTCATCAGACAACAAATGTGGTACAAACCAGCAAGCAACTTTTTTTCTGCCAAAATCTTGCACTAAAATGTTATAAATGGTCTCACTATTAACATCAGATTCATCTGCTATCATCCTCACAGCAAAACAATGATCTTCTTGCATCTGTTCTCTGACTTTTGCAACAAATTCATCATTACGAACAGAAATTATGCATCCAGGTCTAGGTGCATTAGTAATCATTTTCACACCACTTTTGAATCGTGAATACCACCTGCAAATTTGTGCACGAGATAAACAATTATCCCCATAAACTTTTTGCATCAATTCAACTGTTTCAATTACGCTTTTTCTGAGTTTAAAAAAGAATTTAATGTTAGCTTTTTGCTCCGTGCTGATTACGTAACAATGCACCTCTGACTAGGCCAACAAAATGGTGATTTGTCTGTTGTCTGCTTTAGATTCCATGCTTTGCTTCATGGATGGCATTTTTGTCTTGGCCATGATAAAATCAGTCTCATTACTTAATTGTCGAACCTTGCATGTTAGTCTAAACAAGCGAAATATTCTGACCATATCAGTTTCTGTAATCAAGCAAATAACAACCACATAAATTTTAAACTAAATATATGAAACTCAAATTTTTTGTTGTACTGTCTCCACAATGAAGGTTTGCTAGAGTGCATCCACTGCTGTCTTTGGAAACATTACGTAGTCAGGCCCCAGTCTCTTGCACATTGTAACTCTGGATCTTGATCTGGCCTTGGCCATAATACAATCAGTCTATATTAAGGGCTGAACTGTGTACAAATAATGTACAGTCAGCCCCCACAAATGTTTAAAAACATCAGACATAACATGTTAAAGGCAGCCACATCACTTAACATCTTACTATTTACACTTTAAATTGAGACATTATAGTCACAAAACCAGCAAAGCCTTGTTTATTGTTTGCATTCACCGGCTATAAACTCCAGTAGAAAGACCTAGTTGTTCGTCCATTTCTGAACTGACTTTGTTCCAGGACCTGAGTTTTGCGTGCACATCTGTTTTACAGATCTGACTTATTTGTATGCAGATTGTTGGTTTCTTGCCTCTCAGAGATGCACTCTGACTTCAAAGGATGCCCTCAGTTAGTCGACTCTTACGAAATGCTTGTTGGGGAGGCAATAGGGATTATTCTTGTTTTCCCCCACAATGAGGCCCCTGAACTCACACTGCGGACCAACAAAGTATTTCAATCAATCAATCAATGTGTCCTTTACAGAACATCGCTTTCTTCATGGCATGCCTGAAAGTCTCTTTTTCTCTAGCCCCATGTGCTATCACTGACTCCGATACTAGTTCTCAACTATAAGATTCAGTCCCTATTGAGCATCATAAAACTGTTAAACGATTTCGCTAACTTCTTAGCCACAGGTCTCAATTTTTGAATAAAGCACATAAAATGTGTAGAGTCAGCTTTAAATACAAACATGAATGAGGCAGACATACCATGCAGATGTAAAGGCACTGAGACACGTTTCGTAACAAAACCAGATTCTCCAACAGTTGCCAGAAACTCTCTAACAGCTGCCTGTGTTTCCTGTGTGCACGTCTGAAACCCTTCTTGTAACACACCAATCACTTTACCAGTCATGTTTACTTCCAGCTGTGTAGTGGATCATAAAATGATAAGTGGATAACAAAAAAAAAATATATTGTACTATCAGCATAGTTGATTATACAAACCATAATATAGTCGCAGCAAGTGATTTAGGTCACAGGTGGGAGGAAAAGTTAAAGCCGTTGTCATGTGTATAAGGAGAAACTCTTGTCCTTCATTTCAGGAACCAGCAGGTTCTATGATGGTTTTATGGATCCTCATGCAAGACTCCTGCCATATGTTCTCATTGTAAGATAATGGTCTATATGGGCCTACAAAAAAGCTGGCAGAGGATCTTGGGAGTTGGTGGTCCCCAGAGGTAGTGTCCAGAAATCTTATGGCACTCATCAGGCCACCTTCTGTACATAG